AGGCGGCTCCAGGCCCCATCCCCATCCAGAGACGAACTTTTCAGCTTGAACTTGTCGGCTTCTACATGCTTGTGAGCCATTTACCTAAGATAAATCTCTCTCTCTCTCTCTTTCTCTCTCTATAAATATATATATACACTTTGCTGGTTTTTGTGTTTCTCTAGAGAACCCAATCCAACACAGCAAGCATACAGAAAGCATAGAGAAAGAAGTTGAAAACTTTACAACTTAAGATTTTCATTGTTAATGAGATAAAGGTTATTCTTTGCAGGTATCAAAGTTGTAGAATAATAGACTTTTGAAAGTGTTAGAACCTTGTAACTCAACCTGTCTCAATTGTGTTAAAAGCAAGAAGTAATCAAGGTATAGTTATTAGAGCTAGAATATTATTTGTTTCTTTTTCTTTTGCAGTTTTGTTATAATTTGTACTTGGGTCTAAATGCCATTTGTTGTTAGTTGCTGTTGAGTTGGCTCAGATTCATTGCAACCTTATGTATAACAGAGGGAAATGTTGCCTAGTCCCGTGCCATCTTCTTGATCATTGGTAGGCTTGAGTCCATTGTGGGGTCTATACTTCCAATCCATCTCATTGAGGGTTTCCCTCGTTTTTGCTGATGCTTTATACCAAACATGATCTTTTCTTTTGTTTGGTTTTCCTGATAATGTGTCCAAAGTAAGCAAGCAAAAGAACTTCATTAAATGTGTATGTTTGGTTCTTCAATTATGTAGATTAGGTATCTCTGTGATATATTTTTTTTCATCAAAGATAAAGTTTTATTTACTAACAAAGTCATTGTTTTTTTGTATGTTCCAACTAGGGCATTTTAAAGATGAGTGAGAAAAATTTGGAAACAACTTCACAGCAGCGGAAACTTCCTGAATGGATGTCTATGCAGAATAAGAGATGTGCTGTGGAAGGAAGAAAGGTATGTTGTTTAACGGTTATTTTTTCAGATGGGAAATTTAATTTAAATTTGTCTGGACAAGAAGTCAACCCTCACTTGTCAACTTCAGGTTTTTAATTATGTTTGAGTTACTGTTGTGTGAATAAACCAGAATCTAGTCATTGAATGGGTATTGATTTATACCAAATTTTTTTTGTTCTAACAAAAAACCAAACCCACTGCCCCTGAGTTGATTCTGACTATGCGTGACCCTATAGAATACAG